CGACATGCAACTAAGGTAGACCAAAAAGTGAACATTGACATTCTAAAATTCTAAATATAGACATAACCATTTGTATATAGTATTTGATTATAAACTATTGATAATGATTTTATTCCTTGACCAAATATTCTTAGGGAGAGTAGGAGGTGCATTTAATAAAGAGTTGTGGATAATTATTTAAGGATTAATTATAACCAATGGTATAATTGTGAATTTTCAAAATTTAAAAGGGCAAAATAGGAAATTAAAAGTTTTGACATGGGTATTCTCTTTAATAAGAAGTATAGATTTGCTTATATCACGGCTTCTTTCTTTGAAATCACAACTAATAATTGGAAGATATCTAATCCATATTAACTGTAAGATTCCACAAATAGAAACTTGAAACTTCTACTCACACAAATTCTATATGCAGCGGAGCGATGGTAGCATTTTATGTCTACAGAATCATAATAAGTGGCGGCAGCAGCAGCAAAGGCCCAGCTTCAGAACACAGTTCAGAAAATTAAATGTGGTCCGTATGTAGGTTAGTTTTTGTTTTTGAACTTGTTAAAAATCTTTCTGAAAGGTTTCCATTATTAGTTCCGTCATCTTTAAGATTTCTCCGCCTTACTAGCTTTTACCTTCCTTTCTTTATCCTTTTTTAATATCAAGTCCCTCTATATGCATATCAGGAAGTAACTGGATCTTACTGGTGGGGAATAAGAATGGGAAATATTTCCTTGTTGCACCGATGCTGCGATGCTCCCTCACAAGGATTGCTCGCCAGTTTTTTCACCTTTCTGCATACAAAAGCTGAGGTAGCTGGATATTGGTGGGTTGTAGAAATTACAGTGAAGGCTTTCTTCTTCTTCTTCTATTGTCATCTTTCGACATGGTGAATTTTTTTAGAAATGAGGTGTGGTCTTATGAGAAAGATGTACATTGTACGGGACCGATCAAATGTGTTTTTATTTTTTATTTGTTTTTTTTTTTGTTGTTGGTTTAAACTATGTTAAGGATTTGGCTATTAGAGCATGCGATACCTAGCCATTTGGGAGCCTGCTGGACTCCACTTCCCCTCTTTTTCAGGTTCAAGTATTTATCGGATGTAATATTGATGCACCATTCTTATATCATGTGTGAGCTGCTGCTTGATTAATGAGCTTTAAACCTGTGGTTCTTGCGTTTTGGGCTCCTGATTGGAGTGTGAAACTTGCCAAGGTGTTATATGTCGCAGTCCGGATGGTGTGTTTCATGGTTACTTGCACTTTGATGAAAGTTCACGTATGCAGTCTTCCCACGTTCATGAAACATTGTTATTAATACCTTAAACAATTTTTTTTGAGGGAGATAGTTAACAAGTGACGTGCTCATAACTTATTGATTGCCCATTGGATTTGCAGCTTTATTAAGGCCAATTTAGTTGACAGGAAGTATCAAAAGTAAGAAAGTAGAACAAAATCATTATTTCTAAAGTTATGGAATGATAAGAAGTAATGAAAGCAGTATTTCTTCAACTTCATTGCTCTTTTAGTTTTTTTTAATAGCAATTATAAATATTGTTAGGACGAGAGAAAGAGTCTTTCGAGATTTTATTATAACGAGAGATTTTATTATAATGAGAGGATATCCACGTAATATTAAAAATAATTTTATTACTAAATTAACACAAGTTTCAGCTATTTTGAAGCTTTGACAGGAAGAAAAATATTGAAGTAGGAATGTTCCGTATAGACACCGTCGGTATAGTATTTAAGGAAGTAACACAAGTAGTCTTTTTAGAGAAACATACTTTTTCGCTCAAAAATAACAACAATAATCTCTCTTTATTTCAACTACTTCATAGCTACTCCATGCACCATATACACTCTCCACAGGCTCCATTGCAACAAAAGTAACAAAGAGACCATTACATTTTCACAACTGATCATCTAGTGAAATTTATAATTTTTCATATAGTACAAATTAGTAATAAGTAAAATACATGGGAATATAGTGAAAGTTAGATTTGAAGTAAATCATAATCACTCATTAAATAATCAACAACTATAACTAATAGTAGCAGCCTCTCCACTCTTTTTTTATAGCTGAAAATATCTATAAATAGTAGCTAAAAAGATCCAAAATCAACTACTTTAAAAAAAAAAATTTATAGCTGAGGTGACCCAAATTATCAAGAACTACACGTATCAAAATTTGAAGGATTAATAATTTTCAATTAATGTCTTAACCACCTATATATAGCGAATGCACTCACAAGCCCACGTCCCTCGAGCACATAAAACCAGAAACCAGGTAAGAAAATTAGGGGAAAAAAGAACTGACAGAATTTAAGAGATCTCTCATACAATAACTTCCTACCCATTACCTGCAGTCCAACGTGAGCATAACCATCATCAGCATATAAGAATTTTGAGCACAAACTCACCTAAAAAACACCACCCTCTGCATTATTCACCACTTTGCACACAGATATGGAGATGAGATTTTACAAGTCATTATTTTCATGAGCTCAAACACCTAAAATAAACATACATGACTTGATCCCAATGGGTCTACATACCATTAACCATTATAGTTTAGAGACAGATGAGCTTCCAAATTTACATAAAACTCTCTGTAGGCTCACCGTAAACCAAATGGTAGAAAAACCATACCATGCTTCTACTTGTGTACTATAAATAAGCACGTAGAAGACGGACGCGCTGGTTCCTCGCCTTTGGAAATTACAAAGTCTCAAATATCTCCATGTTGAGGGACGCCATTGCCGTTTTCTGCTTGGTTGTCTAGCGGCATGTACTGAGCCATGATAGCACGGATCTCCGAGTCCATGTAGCTCTGAAAAAGATTAAGCAAGAAAGAAACAATTATAAAGCATGGAAACTATTAATCACCGAATATTTGGTGCTTTGAGTTTTTTTAGAGAGAGAGCTAACAAGAGCTCAGGATCTGGTTTTTGCATGATTTGGATGTTAAAACTAGCAGTGTTCTTCCCAATGGATTTGGAAAAGAGTAGTTCCAAGTTTTTGCAAGAGTAGGAAACTCTTCAAATTAGTTGCCAAGCAACATTTACTGGTTTTGAGGTAAGTATAAACCGTATTGGGGCATTTGGCAAGGGTTGGCATCTTATCTTGCATAATTTCGCCCAACTAGACAACCTAGTTTTATTACATTTAAGCTGCTAAAACGAATGCATACTTCTCTTCGAAATGGCGCCACTTGTAGAAAGTAATGCAAAACTGTTGAATTCAGAAGCTTGATGATCTACAGTATAGGTTCTAACTAATGCAAATAAAATGGGAAGTCGAGATTGTAAATACAGTTCAGTTGGTTAGGGGGAAAACAGAAAGAAACCGAAATAGAGTGACAAGTTCGCGGAGAAATAAGCTGTACCCGAATTCTGTACTTATAGACGGCATAGCCTGCAACTCCAGCTGCCAACAGGCCAAGGAAAACAACCCACATAAAGCTCCAGCTAACCTCTGAGGACCCCTCCTTACCTGCAAATAGTATACATAAAGCAATTTCAACATCTTTACTATGAAATAAACAGCATCATAACCTATAGCTGAGAAACCTTGATAAATGATACACCCCTTACAAATTATTACAAGTGAGCAACACGACATTATTGTTACCTTAGTTATTATTATGATTAGAGGGCTCCCAAGATTCATTGTATTTGTATCCAATCCCTTCCGTAATTACAAAAAAGAACTCTTCGGCTTGTTACAACAATCAATAAAAAGCTATTACGGTTTCTCTGATTTCAACAAATTCTAAAACGTCTACAAATTAAATGAAATAGGAAAAATAAGAAACTTCAATTTTTCTCTTGTTTATGCACATGTTAATGGAACTTCAATTCTAGTCTGTTGGTGAAAGAAAAGGACCAAAGATAACTCACTTATGCATGTATCGTGCTCCTTAATGTATAACTGATTGCCCCGGCAGCTGCACTCATAACTTCCCCAAGTATTCTTACACTTGCAGTCTGAGCATTGACAAGCAGTTCTCTCTTTGCATTCATCAATATCTGCAAATAAGTAGAGAACATCAAATATAAACATAACCAAGAAAATACAGAGCACATCAAGAAAAAATTGCTATTAAATTCCTCATTTATCTGACATCCAAGCCAGTCCTCTTTAGGATAGAAAAGAAACAAAAAGCCCCTCAAAATACTTATCAGAACTAAATTATCATAGGTTTTTCTCAGATGAGACCTTAAATTCTATTTATTTTTATATCAGTCCACCAAATCCATTAACTTATTTTATGTACACCCCCACTTCAAACTACTCAATAGATTTGTGGGTGTAAGATACAAGTATGAAGATTTGGGGGCCTAATATGAAAATATGATAGAATCAGAATCCAATGTTAGAAAAGGGTTAATTGCGGATAGATCCTTGTACTATCGCCCAATCATGGATAGACCACTGTAGTTCTATTGGTGTGGATGGACCCCTGTACTATTTGCCATGTGGATAGATCCGACCCCCTGAGTGAATTTTCTTTTAACCTTAGAAAAGTCAGGAAAAAAAATTCACTCATGGGGTAAATCCGAACACACAGAACAAGAACACACAGAACAACAGGGACTCTATCCGCAACACGGTATGGGGGGGTCTATCCACAATTTACCCATTAGAAAAACCCAAAATGTTCATCACTTAAAAAGGCATGAAAAATGCTTGAAGATTAAAATGTATGAAATACTAACTCCATGTTCAAAGTTGAAAAGAATTACAGTGCTCGTGTCAGGAAATTACCTTCACAGGATTTGACCCCATCACCCTTGAAGCCTGAAGGACACTGGCACCCTTTTGAATGATCATCCTACAAGGGTAAGTAGTATATTGCTCAACACTTGGAACCATAAAAGAATTGATACAAGTTGATCTCCACCAACAAAATACTTACTACACAAGCACTGAATGTCTTTCCATATTTAGTATGCTTCCAGCAGCCTCCATTGTTGATTTCACAACGACCAGATCCTGAAGCTGCAGGATTAAAAAAACAAAAAAACATTATCCTCTATATCTTCTTAAGCAATAGCTTACCACATTCAAGAGCCACATTTTTGCTTTGAAACTAACATATTAATAGAAGGAGATCTTAGATCCAAATTGGATCCTCCAAATAGCCAATTCTGCGGATAGGTAACTTGGATTTGTAAGATATCACTTCCATCAGTAAGTTAACTTGTAACTCTTAGAATATTGATGACCACGATGTCATTCAGGGTATCATTGAGACTTAATGTTGTGACCATATATGATAGTTTTGTTCTGCCCTAGTCAAACTAAGCACAACTTGTTCTGCCCTAGTCAAACTAAGCACAACTTTCCTTTCTTTGTTTACAGTTTACACTCGACAATTCAATCATAGTGAGTCATTACCAGATGGCTATAGTAATTACTATGCTTCCACTCATCATGTTTATAATGTTGTCCTCTTAGTTACCAAAGGTGCTCTGGTTTCTGATACCCGATATAAAAAAGAAGATCGATAAGGTTTGAAAGCACAAACAAATGACTTTAGGTGATCATTCTCCTTGTTTTCTGATATCTTCTAACCTTAAAAGAATGATCAAGTTTGAAAGTGCAAATATACGAAAGATTAGTAAAGATATTAGGTATCATACAGCGTTTACTCATTCTACTCAAAAACATGGAAATATTCATTATAGTAGCAGCAAATCTTTTCTAGACAAGGGATAATAGGAACAAACAAGCAGAATTTCCAAGTTGCTTAATGATGATGCAAACCGAACATCATTCAAGTCTTTGCTGACCCAATCTCCCAATGTTATTCCTGCAACAGTTAATATCCCCTCTGCAAAGTTTCCAATGATTCTTTTAGGTCAGGTAAGAAGTCGGACTAAACATATATTTAAGACAAGTTAACAGTCATTACAGGCTTTTAGGAATTAGGATAGAGAGGCTAAGGAAGTAAAAAATTCTACTTCATGAAATCTAAAATACTTTAATATTACATGAAAAAACCTTCTATTTAATCCAAATAATAAGCTTCCAGATTCCAGAATCTTTGATGGATTACCTTCACAGAGAGTATACCCATCACCAACAAACTTTACACCTCGGACAACAGGGCATTCACATACTCTACCACGAAAAGTGTCCTGTGGACAAATTTTTTTTTAAAGATCATCAAGAACAGTACATTATGAGATATCTTGATAAGAAAACCAGCAATAATACCTTGCATGCAGTAATATTGGCAGCCTTATCTTCCCAGCATCCACCATTATTTTCCAAACATTCGTTAGTTTCAATGCCTAGAATGGATAAACCATTATCTAACAATTATCTTAAAAGAATATAGATGACGAAATAAGAAGGCACAGAGTACCACTAACCATCACTTAAACACACTGCTGGTTCCGTGGTTTCCTCAAAGCCTGCGCATATTGCTTTAAGAACTGCACCCTTGTCGAGCTTGCCTACATAAAATAAATAAATAAATAAAAAGCAATCACAAAACATTCATATACTTCAATTCACTTTGTGCAAACCAAAGGCCAATAAGGCACACACCTCTGTATTGTCTGTTGTTAATGACAAGAGTAGGTAAGATGGTTACATCCCCACGTGCATCTTTACCAATCTAAACGAAAAAGTTAAAATAGAATTGATTATATACAAGAAAAGTTTTTTTTTTAAACTAGGATAAGGGGAAAGTACTAACCTGTGCATCTTGTTCGGCTTTAAGCACTGGATTATCTTCATCTGCTTCAGGGTCCCCAATACAGTCATTTATCTTTCGGATATCAACACCTGCAAAATTTATTGAACTTTAGAATAAGTCCTTTGGTCAACTACACAGCACCTAATTGCAAACTCACCCAATGACCGGATTACTCCTTCAGCACATTCCTTTGTGTACTTCTTATCTTTCATCGGGCATCTAATCGAAAAGTCAGTCACATAGTCCCACCACAACCAAGGCTTTCCACTTTCATTAGCGACCTTAAACACACAAACCTGTCGCAAATTCTGAACAACTACATCTTTTCCGTCGTAACCTTTAGTGAAGTCCTGTTCAGGATCAGGAGCACAATATCTCCCGTGGTTGATGCATTGTGATTTGCATTGCTTGCTCAGAATAAAAGCTTCAGGACAATACCAAGTAATGTAATGTGGAGTGAATTGTGTATAACCCTTTTGCTCAAGTATTTGTGCTACTCCTTTGAAGCTCTTTACAAAGTCTATTTGGCTGTCACATTTCGGGCCACATTCATCATTGCTGTTGGTCCAAAATTCATATTCTACCCGCTCATCGGGATGGGGTAGAGATTCCCTCCAGTCTAAGTTAACGCTAATCATATCTCCATCTTCGAGGGATTTCTTAAGGCTATCACCAAAGCTTTTGCTGATAAGAGCTGAAGGAATGGTAATGTTCTGCAGGTAATCTGCCCTTCCGTTATCTTCTTCGGGTGTGTCCATTGTAATTAAGGGCTCCACCTTGTTGTCAGCAACAAGGATAGCAGCAGCGCCAGCATTTTGTGCGTTCCACGCCTTTGTTGTGAAAAAGCAATCTGTAAAAAAAGATAATTGCATAAATAAATTGAGTCACAAGAAAGCTTTAGTATGCAATTACATATTGATGGATAGAGTATATGCAAGTGAACTTATGTATAGAGCCAAACATTACATATTTGGTAAGCAAAAAAGGCAAGAAGAAAACAAGTAAAAGAAGGTCGAGCATAATACAAAAACGTTGACATGCACACATATATACACAGAAATGAGGAATTTGCACTGATTAACCAACAGTAATGTGTGCATAAATTGCCAGTAAAATAGAAGACAGTGGAATGCTGGTTAGACCAGCCCCATGTCCCCTATGTAGAAAATGAAGTACAACAGAATAACGTGAAGTGAGAACACCAAGTGATTGGTTAATGCTATAGGATACTTGTCAAAAAGTGTTTAACTTGAACCAGCATGCACACATATCAGTACCTTCATAAAAGAAATAAAAAAATGTGAGAAAAATGATGATGTACATGTCGAATTCCTGCATAACTGCATAAGTTGCGGTTAATTTCTAGAAGTTTAAGTTACTAAATTTATGGTGAATGTTTCTCTTTCTTTCATTAGCAAATCATCTACAACTCTCTCGAAGAGAGCAGTGTACATGACTATGATTCAGAACCAACATATTTATTCACTAGATAAATATCTTGCTTTACTTGTCACGCCAATTTACTGTATGAATTTATATGAACAACAAGGAAGAAAACTTCATGGGCAATGCATGTGTAACAACAGAATTGAAAGCTATAATGCATCTGTGTGAAAAACATGAAGAGATGTCAGAAAAGAAGATATATGCAAATCAGTAGCTAAAACAGGCAAAACATTGCCAAACATAGAATTTGTAACCAAAAAGGAAGAAGCAGGATTTTTTTTATTTAAAGTTAACAAGATCTACCCAGTCGCAGAAGAAAAGAAAACCTGGCTAAAATGATATTTTTCAAAGTCATGCCAAGCATTGCTTTTGCCCCGATCCCTGTTTGTTTTCTCATGTTTTAAGTACACAATTGGTAAGCTAAAGCACTTTTATGTTGCATAAACAACTGAATTTAACTGATCGAAAAATAACTTTATTAGGTTCTTTGCATAAATGGAGACTAGTGTTTGTGCATTTTAAGTTTAATTTTCCTATATTTAGCTCCAGGTAACTGATAACACCTAAAAATAAGAAGGAAATAAAACTGAAAGAGTCATTGACACACTAAAGACTTAAAAGGGGATCGGAAATAAAAATAAAATTTGTAAGCTCAAAAATGATCAACACAGAATCATAGTCTAACGATAACATATATTTCAGCTATAATTAGTACAATATCAACAAACACAGTATGCAATCAAATTAAGCAACACATAAACAAAACCGCATCAACAACTGCCACTGAACAGTTCAGTGACCAAAATAAACAAATCCAGATGTAGAACTACAACAATCTCAAAGTCTAAATCTCACCTCCTCGATCAACAAGAACAAAGGTAGGAAACCCTCCCGGTTTCGATTTGAACGAAATATCGAAATCATCAAAACTCTTGCATGCTTTTCTATTAGATTTAGGGTAGACGACAATCCCAACCATAGTTCCTCCATATTGAGGAATCCCAAAATTCCCAATTGCACACTCATAAACCCCTTTCAACGTTTCAGGCGAAGTCACCTTCAAGCTATTCTTCTCCACAACAAATCTCCCCAAACTAGAACCCCACAGAAACAAAACCCAGATCAAAAAACACAATTTCGCCCTCATCTTTGCCCTAACTCCAAAAAATCCCCACTTCAGAAATCGAGGATTCACCTGAAAAGATCGGATTTTGAGGCGAACCCAGATCGCAGGAGGGGAGCAATTGTGTGAAAACGAGATCAATTTCACCAAAGCCCCACGTTTTTATTTAATAACTAGGGTTTACAATGATCCCATTCCGGGAGTTGGGGCTTAATTAAATGAAAAGACCAGAAGGAGACGTGTTTGATACTGAAGCTTCCGCTTTCTTCGTAAAAACAGGTGCTTTGGAAATATCCGGTGGAAACACTTTGGACTAATATCAGCCGTCCATTTTGACGGTGGATAAGATGGACGGTGGATAATGAGGATAAAGCTTTTGATCGAGTATTTACTGGGGTTAAGTAGGGGTGATGATGGGCCTAGAGAAATTAATATTGAGATACAGTCCTAGTTGACGTAAGGTCATGATTTATTATAGTTTTAAATGCTATCAACTACCGCATTACATTGTATTTTTTTAAGCTTGTAATGGATGAGTAATTAATATGTAAAATAATCTAGTTGTAGATACGAATTGTATATTGTACATTTTATTTCTTTCAATTAAAGAATACTAAAAGATCTCTGTGAAGAATTATCACCTTACTTACCTATTTAGTGAAGAATTGGATATATTTATACTTCACATGTTAAGGATGGAATCTCTGTGATCTCAATCTTTTCTTCAAAAAAAGAAATTAAGAATCAATAACAAGTTCATGGTACTTGTTAATTATCGAGAGTGAACATTTCACAATCCAATACTAACTCGTATACTATGAATAAAACATATATGTTGAAATAAATAGTGGTCCATATCGTTGCCTATCTGGACCATATCTTCAAATAAGGAAGGCAACAGCTGGGAAATCTCTTTTGTAATCAGAGTTATTATATTCCTTGTTTAGATAATTGTAATAGGAAACAAATCTCTCTCATCTCCCTATAAATTCTCCTCTCGTCTCTGTAACAAACTACTGAAAAATAATAGAAAAAGGGTGTGTGTGGGTGTGGAGGATGTAGGCACCAAATTGGTGCTGAACCTCGTTAAATCCTGTGTCTATTTACTGTTTTCAGTTTCTACATGGTATCAGAGCACCAGACGTAGGCGTAGATCTGACGTTGGCGATCTGAGATGGAGGGCCCTAGTACGAAGACGAGTGGAGAGAAGAACCCAGACCCCAGCGCTGACATGACCCTGCTTCAAGCGTTGAAAGAACTCCTTTCCACACAGAAGGCGACAGCCGTGTCGGTTGAAGTACCGACTAACTCGACCATCGTCAAACTCGACGGAAACAACTATGGGCTATGGTTGTCCATGATGGAGACACATCTGGCCGGCAAGGGCAAGTTAGGATATGTGAAGGGTGAAAAACCAGCACCCCCAGTAGGCAATGTGGGATATGAGCAGTGGAAGATGCACGACTCAATGGTGAAACCAGTTACTTCTATTAATGGAGAAAGATGGTTTGTTTTGTTTACTGATGATAGTACCCGAATGACCTGGCTATATCTCTTAAAAACTAAGGATGAAGTTGTCACATGTTTTCTAGATTTTTTGAATCTCGTCCAAAGACAATTTGGGAAAAAGATTAAGATTCTTAGAAGTGATAATGGGAGGGAATATGTGAATAATTTCTTGAGAAAATTTTTTCGAGACAATGGAATTGTACATGAGACATCCTGTGTTGGTACTCCTCAACAAAATGGAGTGGCGGAAAGGAAAAATAGGCATATGGACTGGATGATCGTTTGGATAGCACACGAGCCGATATAATCCAGACGGTGCCTCTTCCAACTATCGAGCAAGCGTATGCCAGAGTTAGACGGGAGGAGGTGAGGCAAAAGGTGATGTGCGGCAACAGTAACTCAAACCCGGTTGTCATGACGGTGAAGGGCACAGACCATGCGGGCTGGAACACGGACCATACAAGCTGGAACACGGACCGCACAAGTAGTCACACAGCCCGCGCATCTAAGGTATCACTTTCTCTTAAAACTGAAACAAACCAGGGAAAAGGAAAGAGGGTCGAAGGAGGAGGATGCACTCACTGTCACAACCCAAAGCACACCAGAGAGACATGTTTTCAGTTGCATGGATACCCAGACTGGTGGCATGAGTTGAAGGAGAGAAAGGGAGCAAGTAAGAAGGGACAGGCTCATCAGACGGTATGCATGGACCGTGCAAATGGGAGCACGGACCGTACAAATAATAACCCAGGCCACAGAAACAACACAGGACAGACATCTCTAACACTAGCCAATTTTGTTGAAGGTACAGAGGGTTCTGCCGAGAAAGGTAATGCTTTTATTGCACATAATCTAGAAAAATGGGTAATATACTCGGGAGCAACTGATCACATGACCTATTTAGATTCTGATCTAGACAAAATCCACGAATCAAACAGAAAAGAAATTGTGAGTGCGAATGGGATTAAATCACAAGTTATAGGATCGGGAAATGTTACTGCTACTTCATCTTTGTGTCTAAAAGAAACATTACTAGTTCCTTCGCTGACCACGAGACTAATATCAGTGGGAAGATTAACTGAAGACTTAAATTGTGCTGTTCTAATGTACCCAAAATTTTGCATCTTTCAGGACATCCTAACGAAGGAGATACTTGGGCGTGGTATTAAGCACAATGGACTATATCACCTTGAAGATTTGAGTGTTGGTTCTGCATGTTTAACTGGACAGAGGGTTCAGACGAATAATATTTTGTTATGGCATAAGAGGTTAGGGCACCCTTCTGAGGGTTATATGCGAAAGATGTTTCCGTCATTATGGGTCAAGGTATCAAACTCTGAAATTTCATGTGAAACTTGTATTAAAAGTAAGAGTCATAGAAGCACGTATCCTAGTACCTGTTTTAAAATTTTGAAATTTGGTGATTTAGTACATTCTGATGTGTGGGGCCCAGCCCCAGTTACTTCTATTAATGGAGAAAGATGGTTTGTTTTGTTTACTGATGATAGTACCCGAATGACCTGGCTATATCTCTTAAAAACTAAGGATGAAGTTGTCACATGTTTTCTAGATTTTTTGAATCTCGTCCAAAGACAATTTGGGAAAAAGATTAAGATTCTTAGAAGTGATAATGGGAGGGAATATGTGAATAATTTCTTGAGAAAATTTTTTCGAGACAATGGAATTGTACATGAGACATCCTGTGTTGGTACTCCTCAACAAAATGGAGTGGCGGAAAGGAAAAATAGGCATATTTTAGAAATTGCAAGGTCACTATTGTTTGAAAATAATGTGCCTCAAAATTTTTGGAACCACGCTATATCTACTGCGGTATACCTCATGAATAGAATGCCCTCAAGAACCCTAAAATTTCTGACTCCATTGCAAAAACTAGCTTCGTTTGTGGAAATCCCTTCAATCTTGACCTTGGCACCAAAAATTTTTGGCTGTGTAGCATATGTACATGTTCCAAAAGAGAAGAGAACAAAGTTAGAACCATGTGCAATTAAATGCATGTTCATTGGATATGGGAACAATCAGAAAGGGTATAAATGCTTTGACTTAGAAACTAGAAAAATCTATGTGACAATGGATGTTACTTTCTTGGAGAGTGAATCTTGTTTCAAAAATCAACCAACCCCAGTATCAATACAAGAGGAACCGAATCACCAAGTATGGTGGGATAATCAGGAGAATATCAATACAGTCCATATACCAGAGGAAATTGTCCATGCACCAGAAAATGTATCTGGCGACGCGGACCGGACAGAAGACTATACGGTCAGTATACCAGAGGACACGGACCATGCACCAGGGGATACAGACCATACACTAGTAGATGGAGAAGAAAGACCAGAAGCAGAGGTGACAAAACCTCACGAGGATCCAGAAGAAATACCATGCTTGAGTTCTCCCGAAGATGCTCCTGAGATAAGTTCTCTTATCACTGAAAGAAGGTACCCTATAAGAACTAACCGTAATGTACGACCAAAGCGGTATAGCGAAGAAGGGTATGCGATATCTAACTATACCAGCACTGAAGGGTTGTCCAACTTAGTACAAACTTTCACTAAAGAATTATCGAAAATTCGAGTACCAAACACTGTGGGAGAGGCATTGCAGGATCCCAAATGGGTGGAGGCTATGGAAATTGAGATGAAAGCCCTAGAAACCACTAAAACTTGGAATTTGGTAGAACTACCAAATGAGAAGAAAACAGTCGGCTGCAAGTGGGTGTTTTCTGTGAAATATGATGCTACAGGTAAAGTTGAGCGATATAAGGCAAGGTTGGTCGCAAAAGGGTACACTCAGACATATGGTATAGATTTCCAGGAAACTTTTTCTCCAGTTGCAAAGCTTAACACAGTTCGAGTCTTATTATCTTTTGCAGCAAACTTGGACTGGCCCTTGCATCAGTTTGATGTGAAGAATGCATTTCTGCATGGTGATTTAGAAGAGGAAATCTATATGGACCTACCACCGGGGTATTCCCACCAACAAAACAAGAAACTAGTGTGCAAGTTGGAGCGTAGCCTATATGGCTTAAAACAGTCCCCCCGGGCATGGTTCGGGCGATTCTGTAAGGCCATGAAGAGCTATTGCTACAATCAAAGTGATTCTGATCATACTCTGTTCTTCAAGCATCGTCAAGGCAAGGTAACCATCTTAATTATCTATGTTGATGACATGATAATTACAGGCGACGACACTATGGAAATCCAGTGGCTAGAGCAGAGGTTATCGCAGGAATTTGAGATGAAGGATCTAGGCGGTCTAATACTTCTTGGGGGAATAGAGGTACTGCGTTCAAAAGAAGGTATATCCCTATCACAGAGAAAGTATACACTTGACTTACTTGCAGAGGTGGGCATGCTAGATTGTAAGCCAGCTGATACACCCACAATTTCGAACTTGAAGTTTGAAGACAACCCAGAAGATCCGGAGGTGGATCGGGAAGCTTATCAGAAATTAGTAGGTAAACTCATTTACCTATCACATACTAGACCCGATATTGCATATGCTGTGAGCATGGTGAGTCAGTTTATGCATGACCCGAGAAAACAACACATGGATGCTGTGATTAGAGTTTTGAGGTATCTAAAGAAAACTCTAGGAAAAGGCATTCAGTTTAGAAAAAATGGACATTTGAAAGTTTGGGGGTACACGGATGCTGATTGGGCTGGAGACAGAATAGATCGGAAATCAATGTCAGGATACTTCACCTTTGTGGGAGGAA